GAGGCCCTCGGCAACCTGCTGTAGGAGACCCTGCTTTGGCAGGGGGGTTGGACTAGATGACCCACAGAGGTCCCTTCCAACCCCGAACATTCTGTGATTCTGTGAGTCACTCCTCCTGTGTCCTGCTTTTCAACAACCTGCCAAGGCAGGTCAGCAGGCTGCCTGCCCAACAGCCACCCCTGCCACCCAGCCTGTTGTGTAACCGGGTGCTGGAGGCAGGCAGGGCGCTTCCTCTGTGTGGCAGCAGCCTGCGAGGCTGGGAGTGGGCAAGTGCCACTTCTACACCAGCCTTTCTGTGGCCTCCCAAGCATCATTCTTTAGAAATTTTTCCAGAGCAATCATGTAAGTGCAGTCCTTGTCTCTGCGGACTTGTCGTCACAGGGAGTAGCTGCCTTTCCATGAGATTTGTCACCATTCAGAGAGGTGTACGCACTGTTGGAGCCTGCAGTATTTCACAACCATGGTGCCTCCATCTACCACAGCTACAGAAACACAGTTTAATTAGAGAAGCAAAATTCGAGATACAAATTTCCATTGGTGGGAGTGGACTGAATTTCTACTTACTGCTAGTATATTCAACTATTCAAGCTGGGATTGCTTAATCAAAGCCAGGATTTTTGTCAAATACATGTGGAATCTATTTCATCAGAAAATTCATGGCCAGTTCTCTTCCTAAGTGGTTCCAATTATGCATGATGGGATCTCTGGGTGCAACCACTTGAAACCGGATCTTCGTCCTTTTCTGTATATTGGGGCAGTCTATCTTCTCCCATGCCTAGCTAATACGCCTTCTGTTACATGGTGGCTTTATATGTTTCCCTTTTTTCAATTATTCTGAGGACCTTTTCTGTATCTAGGTTATCTAATCAGCAGCAGCAGTTAGTTGGATTTCTTTCCCTTGGAGCACTGCAATAACAGCCTGCAGAGACTGGAAGGAACTGCTTCTTGCATGAATCTGACTCATATTTGAGTTGCTTCTCTGTATTCTCTAGCCAAAATTCAAATGTCAATAAATTAAACAGCTAATTGAGTCCTGATACGTTTTGTTAGGCACAAACAAGGGCAAACTTTACACAGCAAGAGAGAAGTTCTTACCTGTTTACTGGCAACCCTGTTTTAATCTGAAATTCCATACCACAGTTGTATTTGCAGGGCTGTATTTGCACCTGGGCCTCTCTAAGGATAGTTGCATTAACTGTCTGGTGAGTTGGCTGGGAATGGGTGTCCAGCAGAATCATCTGATACTAAATGATCTTCTGCCTCGGGGTGATTCTGTTCATTTTACTTAAATGTAAATTGATATTTTCTCCTCAGTAAAGAAATTCTGCCATTCTCCCTGTGTCTCTGTTCTGCCTGTCCCTGAGCCCATTTCAGAGAAATACCGAAGTGTGCTGGAAGCAGAAGGCTCCTTCTGGATTTCCACCCTGATGGGGCTGCAGGGACTTGTATGAAGAATTTAAGCCTCTCTGCTTCCAGCAACGCAGCACACGCTCGCCAAAGAAGCAAAATTTCTGCCTGTGTGCACACTCTGCACAGCTGTGCAGTCATGGGAGGCCCTTGGAGGCGATATCCCATCTGTTACATATTGATTCGCAAATCCAGGCAACAGAAGTCTGTTGGGCTTTGAGACCTTCTGTACCAGACCTACTTTAAGGAAAAAAACAAAATGACCAAAGCTGCTTTTGCCAGATCCTGACGTTGAGCAGTTAGGAACAGCTCTCTCTCTGACAGCTCCTCTCTGCTAGGAATGGCCTAGGTTTGTTCTTTCGGAGTGACAAATCATTTCCAAATTGAGGCTGTTCAGATGTTCAGTATTCTGCCAGGAAAACATCACTTTCCTCGCAATTTAATATTCAGTCTCCTTACCTTGATCCACATGGTCTTGGGAGCATTAGCCCGGATATTAGCATGATGCCATGAGAGGTATTCGTCTACCTGGGCCCGTTTCTGTATGTCTGATGGGTACCAGTGGTCGGGAGTGTTGTACTTTCGACTCAGATACAGCAGAATGGCAGTGCTGCTCAGACATTAAGAGGGAGACAAGAAAGTGATCAGGGAGTTACGATGCAGAGTGCTTTCACCTAAGCTCCTCCTCCTGCCCCTTCTGAACTCGCTGCTTCCACTAAAAAGCATTCAGATCAGGGTTTCTGATGGTGTCTAGGGACCTTATACAGGCATCTAATTCATGCTGACATCAGAGATGGCACTTAATCACCTTAGTTCCCATGAAAACTTTAACATGCTAGAAAATCACAGCACTGTTGCACTGTGCAGAGTACTGCTGGACAGCACTGGGGTAAACAACAAACTTCCATAATCACCTATCAGCAATGTTAACCCCACCTATTTTTCAAGCGTTCTGACCCACCTCTCTGAGATATATGCATGTTTATGTGCTTGTATACTAAATTAAACCCTCTAATGGGGTATGTTGCCTTTTCATCAGATCTCTCTCTAGCCTGCAGCTTCCACTGAAGTCAGTGGAAATCCCAGCAAGGAGAGCCTACAGAATCTTTTTGTGTTCATCCAGTTGTTTATCCTTTCACTAACTGGCAGCAGAAGTCAGCTGGAAAAACATCTTAGTCATCTGCAACAATATGTAGGCTGTTACTACAAAAAGAGATGCCACAGAAAATCCTGTGCTGACAAAATGGAGGAAAATGCAGACCCTCCTGCTATGCTGATACTATTATAGCTCAATTATTTCAGTACCATTAACCAGTCTCCATATTAATCTTATAATGTAAACCCTGAATTTTATCTCTATTGGTGTTCACTTGGCCTTTATGATTAATTCAGATAAACAGAATTTTTTGCTAAGGTAAAAGAGACTTTTTATTCCCTAGGGTAAAAGGGACTTTTCTAAGCTTTACACATTTCCCAGAAACGTTTGTAATCCCATTTTGAGGTAAGTGCATTCAGGGTAACATCAAGAAGTTAAGTCAGCTGATTTGTTTACATTCTGAAAGATAATCGAACAGAAAATGGAAACAGAGCAAATGAGGTTATACTATTAAAAACAACCAACATGTTCATAAATTTTGTGATCCTTAATTATTCAGCGAGAATGACATCTCCTAAATGCTGCGCAGATTACTGGTACCCACGGAAGTCTAAGCACTGAGTTCTTACCATTCTGCTAGGGTGAAATCTCCGTCCTTTAGTGCTGGTACTTTCTTCAAGAGGCTGACTTTACCAGCTCCTTCACTATTTGATGGCCCTAAGAACATGAACAGACAAGTCAGAGTTTAGAAGTGTATCTGCCAGTGAATCATAAATTAAATACTTGGAGCCAACTGGACAATCAGTGAACTGTGTTAGGTGTTCCCTATATGGTCATATTTCACAATTAAAAGGTAATGAAATTCAAGAGTTGGTGTAAAAGCTATCTGAAGAGGGCAGTTGGCTCAGCCCTGGCATGTGGCACAGAGCAGTTCGTATTTCTGTACAGGAATTCTGTAGCTTGACTCAGATACCAGCAATACTTACAAAAACTTACTGAAAATCACTCCACAGGAGGCATTTAGATACCACGCTGAAGGTGCTGGTGTTGAAAACACTATTGCAGGTAACTAGGAACAGCTAACTGACTTGAGAACAGTGTGTCCTACAGCTTTAGAGACAGTGCGGGGAAAAGACAGAAGTTACGATGAAGACAACTGAGCACCTAAAAAATACTTGATATCTGCCAAGGAAGCAGGGTCTGGAAAAGTTGAGTTTGCAAGCATAGCATCCTATGGAGGGCAGATGGTTGCTACTCCTGCTCCCGTTCCCACAGGCAACACCAAAACAAAGTCATTTTCCTGAAGTTTGTAAATGCGGCTGACTAACTAGGATGGAGTCATGATGGAAAACAACTGAAAAGCCTTGTGCTCACAGAGATCACTGCAGTGGCTAATTAATCAAAGAGAACCCGGCTGGCTTACAGACACACGGAGCAAAACCTTTTTCCTGTTTGTTTGTCTCTGAAGAGCAGAGGAAATTGAGCATTTACAAAGAAAGCAAATGCTGTCAACAGAGCTGATGCCTCAGAAGACACGCAGATGAAGATGTTTCCAGAGTTTTTGCTGGGACAGGAAAAACGTGAATGCCAGCAATACAACAGCAGGCCCACAAAACAACTCTCTCTGCCACAGTGGGAATTGGCTAGGGGCAGGGAAGCTCCAACACCTCTGCCCTGTGTGACTCCTGGCTCTGTATGTCAACCTACCTCTGTCAAGAAAATGTAGGAGGAAGCCACCATCCCACAAGAGTTTAAACTCCACAGTCCCTTGGAGTTTGGAGGCATTAATGGCTGACTATCTAATCTGGTTTTTGGTTTCCCACTGCAGGCAGTGCGATTGCCAGTCAGCAGTTAAATGCCAAGGAATTGTAGAAAAGTCCGGGAACACCTATGTAAGAAAAGGTGCGAGGAGTTTGTTCGCTTTGCTTGTTATAAGTGTTCTCTAGAACGAGACATGACATTTAGGGTGCAAATCCTGATCAAATCAGCATGACCAGCACGAGGTCTTGTACAAAAATCCCTTTGTTAAAAAAAAAATGAGGGCTGTTAACTAACAGACAGTGATCTACACCCCCAAGAACTATTTGCCCCCATTCAGGAGGCAGCCGCAGTGTCTGCTTTACCAGACAAAATTGCAGCAGGAAACAGTTTCCAAGAAAAAAAAAAAACGGCCTTTGGACTATCAAGTTTATTTGCAGTTGGCTTTGGGAAGGAGTGGGAGAAAGGAAGGTTGCTGCATTACAGATTACAGACTACTTTCCCAGTATTCATTTCACACAAGACAAATCGAGCAGACCACCCTGTTCTCCTTCCTAGCTGACCAGCCTCTACCTTATTTTTTCTTTGACAAGTGCTTTTTTAAAATTCCGGTGTAAGTATCTCCATTGGAGACTAAGATTCACATCCATCTGCCGTCTGAAGGGATTCCAACCCACGTCTCCCATCTCCCTGGGAAATGTCTCTTGCTGCCTGCGGTGATGGTGGCCTCCAGATTAGCTGGGCAAGCGGTTCCACATGCACAGCAGAACCAGGCAGCATTGTCAGGAGAGGCAGGAAGAAAGGGCTTCTTAAGAGTAAGAGCCAGACAGAAAGTGCAAATTAAGCCTAATAATTGAGAAACTTGAATATAAAAATAAAAAATCCCCAAAAATCAAGCCAGCAGGCAAAGTACAAGGACAAGGTGCCTTACGCCCATGGTTTATATAATAAAAACAGTGAGGCAAATTTGTGTAAATCTCCTGTCATGCAAGGAGTTGCTCTGGGAAGGTGCTTGGTTCTGTGCTTTTAGAAGGACTCCAAAGGCCAGCGGTCATCATACATTCAGATCTGGTGAGACCTGCAGAGTTCAGGCGGTCCTTGGAAAGACAGCAGAAAAGTTTCAAGTCAATAGCACTTACAACTAATGAGCAGTCAATTCTCAGACCTAGCTGTCTGGTTGTTCTGCTGTCTGTCTTTACTGTCCAAGGCAACCGAGAAACAACAATATGAGAGGAAAGCAGTGGGTGAGGGCAGCCTCAACCAGATTTCAGCCTGCTTTCACCGTGCAGGAGTCCTAGCAGGAATACTGACCTTACTAGTCCCCTGATGGGACGAACGTGTCATTACAACAGGCTGGACAGTAGGTCAGTGTCTATTACGCAGCCCAGGGAGTGCACCTTATGTGCTTTGGCACGTACAGACATAAAAGGCCTGTGCCAAGACCCTGCCACTGCACTGCAAACTGGTAAAAGCCTTGGTGTGAACACTAACTCCAGGCTGCTTCACTGTGACCGACTGCTTATTGTATTAGAGACCAATATTTGTATTTGCCATTTAGCAGAGTTTAAGCCTGTGCCTCTCTTCCAGCCAGCAGAGCCAGCCCTTTTGTTTAGAGGTATTAGGTGGCCCATCTTTATCATTCCTGTGACGTTGACTTGAGTTACTGTGCTGTTTAACATCAGTTGCATTTGGTGTAATTAGTTCTTGTTGTCCCCCAAGGATATATATGCACACACACTGTATGTATCGGTGGGCTTTGAGGAGTAACTTTAATAAGAGGAGTACACACTTTCAAAAAGCAGGGAAAGCTGTACACAGGAGCAATTCTTACGTGTAAGTCATAGTGTGAGGAAGGAGATATACCGGGGGGTAAAAAGAACGGTGGACAAGATTTTACAGGAGGAAAAAAAAAAACAACCAGTCTATTTGCCAATCATGTCCCTGCCTAATCGTCTCCTCAGCCAAGGATTTCCAAGTACCATGCTTTGCCTGAGGCAAATGTAACAATTAACTAGGAAAACGCAATATGAAAATTGACAATAGTCACCTTCTACCGTTGGACAAGTCTGAGCAGCTGAGTGTTTCTGCTACGTACACCACTCCCAGCAGCTCCTCGGCTGTCACTGTGACTAACCTGCTAGAAATGGCTGGAGGAACATTCCTTGGGGGTCCACAAAAATAGATGCAGCACAGCTATGAGACCTCTCTGGGAATAAGAGCTGCACGGCCAGACCACTGTACTCAGGCCCCTCGGCAGAGCGCGTGTTTAAACTCACCCCGGTTACCGAGCAGCCAGTCCTTCCCTCCCAACGGCCACGCACAGCTTCCAGGGGCTGGGAGCGGAGTCAGCTCCCCAGTGCCAGTCTGGGCAGGCGGGCGCTGTGTCCCGCTCCGGACCCCGCCGCGGGGGGACACCCGTGTGAGACCGCACACAGGC